AGACTTGATGTAGCCTCTGAGAGACTCGAGCCAGAGACCTGCTCAGCCACACACCCATACCTGGCCCACAGAAACTGAGATAATAAATGTGTGTTAAGCCTCTAAGTTTTGGGGTAATTTGTTAGGCAGCAATAGACAACTAACAGTCTCCAGTATTTTTTTTTTTTTGAGATGGAGTTTAGCTGTTGTTACCCATACTGGAGTGCAATGGCGCGATCTCAGCTCACCCCAACCTCCGCCTCCTGGGTTCAAGCGATTCTCCTGCATCAGCCTCCCGAGTAGCTGGGACTACAGGCACGCGCCACCATGCCCAGCTAATTTTTGTATTTTTAGTAGAGACGGGGTTTCACCTTGTTGACCAGGATGGTCTCGATCTCTTGACCTCGTGATCCACCCGCCTCGGCCTCCCAAAGTGCTGGGATTACAGGCGTGAGCCACCGTGCCCGGCCCAGTCTCCAATATTTAACACCAGTTATTTGTTGTGTTGGGTCATGGGGACACAGAGATGAAGGTGTTCTTCTAGTCTTCAGGAGGTACCTAGTCTGGTAAAGAAAGGCAGACGTGTGTGATGGGGCTACTGTGTGTATTACTGTGTTTTATTGGATGGGCTGGAGAGGGGACTGCCTATATTACACAGCCTGGAGGTGTCAGGGCAGGCTTTTTGGGGAGGTGTCAGTCACAAAGCAGAGTTTTGAAAGGTGAGTAAGAGCTTGCCAGGTGCTATAGCTTGAATATCTGCTCCCAAACTCATATCAAACTATAATTACCATTATGACAGTATCAAGAGGTGGGACCATGAAGAGGTGATTACATGACTGGATTGCTGCAATTATCAGGAAATAGGTCCCTGATAAAAGCAAGTTCAACCCTCTCTTGCCCTTGCTCACTTGTACTTTCTCTTACCCTTCCACCGTCTGCATGGGATGACCTAGCACGAAGGCCCTCATTGGAGGCTGGTGCCATGCACTTGGACTTCCCAGCCTCCAGATCCATGAATCACATGAACTATTGTTTGGAAATTAACCAGTCTCTGTTACAGCAACACAAATCAGACTAAGATACCAGGTGAAGAAGTCAGAGAAGCAGTGAGGAGGGAAGGAGGAGAACACATATTTTCTCCCCATCTCTCTATGGATTTGGGAAATTGTTTTAAGAACACGCTTGGAAAGAGGGCACTCCACAGCTATGTGTTTGACGAAAGAGCGAGTGATTCATCCCCCCTCATCTCAAAAGTCTGTGAGTCAGCAAGCTCTTCCTGGGCTCAGACCTTTGTGAGAGTGGGGAGTTGAGTCGACTGTGCTGAAGTGAGGGCGTTGAACATTGTGTAATGGTTATATTGCTTTTTAACCAGGGTCAGGATTGGCCTTTGGAGTGTTGTCAGGGTTGAAATAGAAAGGACTGGGTACAAATCCGAATCGGTGTTTGGGACAGGCTGGGGCAGAGGGTCAGGGCTCCTTTTTTCCATTCTCTTCACACTGCCCCTGTCTTAGCTCCTCTGGGAGCTGAGCCTGGCAGATTTTAAGCAACCCTTCACCCAAGGAAGTTTCAGAAACTCTGAGCAGAAGGAACGAGGGCAAAGCTAGGCCCCAGGGGGCGAGGCTAGTGTTAGCCAAGAGCTGCAGCCAGCCCTTTCCTGACCCTGGACGGGGTGCCCTCTGCACCATCCTAAACATGGAGGAGGCAGGATAGTGGGCTCCCAGTCCTGCCTCTGCTGCCGAGTTAGGGGAAGGAGAGCTGGGTGATTGAAGCATGGGTTTTGAAGCCTGGCTGACCAGGGCAGCTGACCAGCTCTGCCACTTAGTGGGCATGCTCTCTAGCCAGGTGCTTAGTCTCCCTGAGCCTCAGTTTTCTGATCTATAAAATGAGATAACAATCCCCATGCCATAGGACTATCATGAGGTTTAAATTAAATCTGTGCAGGGATGGACTCAAAACAGGTGGCTAAAACAAAAAGGAGCTGGGCCGGGTGGCTTGTGCCTGTAATTCCAGCTATTCAGGAGGCTGAGACGGGAGGATCACTTGAGACCAGGAGTTTGTGACCAGCTTAAGCAACATAGAGAAACCTTATCTCTAAAATAAACAAAGAAATAAGTAATAAAAATAAAACAAAAAGGAGCATAGAACAGACGGACGAGGTCCCTTCAGCACTCAAATTCTACCGTTCTGAGCCCGGGTGTGGTGGCTCACACCTGTAATCTCAGCATTCTGGGAGACCGAGACGGACAGATTGCTTTAGCTCAGGAGTTTGAAACCAGCCTGGGTAACATGATGAAACTTCGTCTCTACAAAAAATACAAAAATTAGCCAGGCATGGGGGCACATACACGTAGTCCCAGCTACTCAGGAGGCTGAGGTGGGAGCATCACTTGAGCCTGGGAGGTCAAGGCTGCAGTGAGCTGGGATCGTGCTACTGCACTCCAGCCTGACAACAGAGTGAGACCTTGTCTCAAAAACCCAAACAAGCATTCTGACGAATCTGCTGGCCCAGCCCCAGACCTCTTTCTCTTCCTCCTGTCAATTGGGGGAAATAGTTGCTGCTAGTAGTCTCACCTTTAGAAGCATCCACACTCATTATTTCATTTTATTTTTGAAACAGCCCATTTTACAGGCCAGGTACAGTGCCTCATGCCTGTAATCCCAATACCTTGGGAGGCCAAGGCGGGTGGATCACGAGGCTGGGAGTGCCAGACCAGCCAGGCCAACATGATGAAACCCCAGCTCTACTAAAAATACAAAAATTAGCGGGGCGTGGTGGCATGTGCCTATAATCCCAGCTACTTCAGAGGCTGAGGCAGGAGAATTGCTTGAACCTGGGAGGCAGAGGTTGCAGCGAGCCAAGATTGCGCCACTGCACTCCAGCCTGGGTGACAGAGCAAAACTCCATCTCAAAAAAATAAAATAATAAGGGCAGGTTACAGTGGCTAATGTCTATAATCCCAGCACTTTGGGAGGCTGAGGTGTTTGGATCACCTGAGGTCGGGAGTTCAAGACCAGCCTGGCCAACATGGTGAAACCCCATCTCTACTAAAAATACAAAAAAAAAAAAAAAAAAAAAAAAAAGGCACATGCATGGTGGCATGTGCCTGTAATCCCAGCTACCTGGGAGGCTGAGGCAGGAGAATCACTTGAACCTGGGAGGCAGAGGTTGCAGTGAGCTGAGATTGCACCATTGCACTCCAGCCTGAGTGACAGAGCAAGACTCCTTCTCAAATAAATAAAAATTGAAGAAGAGCCGAGTGCAGTGGCTCACATCTGTAATCCCAGCACTTTGGGAGAATGAGGCAGGCAGATCACCTGAGGTTGGGAGTTAAAGACCAGCCTGACCAATATGGAGAAACCCCATCTCTACTAAAAATACAAAATAAGCCAGGCGTGGTGGCGCATGCCTATAATCCCAGCTACTGGGGAGGCTGAGGCAGAAGAATCACTTGGACCTGAGAGGCGAAGGTTGCAGTGAGCCGAGATCGCACCATTGCAGTCCAGCCTGGGCAACAAGAGTGAAACTCTGTCTCAAAAAATAATAATAAAAGAAACAACCCATGCTACAGCTGAGACTGGCCAAGAGGGGAAAGTATTTGCCCATGGCAGTGAGTTCCACTGATAGGGTTTGGATTTGTGTCCCCACCAAACTTTATGTTGAATTGTAGTCCCCAGTGCTGGAGGTGGTCGGATCACAGGGTTGGATGCTCATGCATGGCTTAGCCCCATCCCCTTGGTGCTGTTTTCATAATAGTGAGTGAGTTCTTGTGAGATCTGGTTGTTTAAAAGTGTGTAGGCTGGGCATGGTGGCTCACGCCTGTAATCTCGGCACTATGGGAGACCAAGGTGGGCAGATCACTTGAGGCCAGGAGTTCAAGACCAGCCTGGGTGACAGAGTGAGACTCTGTCTCAAAAAAAGAAAAGAAAAAAGTATACAGTACCTTCCACTGCGTTCTCTCTTGCTCCTGCTCCCACCATGCAAGATGCCTCACTCCCAATTGCCTTCCACTGCGGTTGGAAGCTTCCTGAGGCCTCTCCCACAGCAGAAGCCACTGTGCTTCCTGTACAGCCTGCAGGACCATAAGCCAATTACACTTCTTGTCTTTATAAATTACCCAGTCTCAGGGATTTCTTATTTTCATTATTATTATTATTATTATTTGAGACTGAGTCTTGCTCTGTTGCCCAGGCTGGAGTGCAGTAGTGCAATCTCAGCTCACTGCAACCTCTGCTTCCTGGGTTCAAGCAATTCTCCTGCCTTAGTCTCCAGCATAGCTGAGATTACAGGCACCCGCCACCATGTCTGACTAATTTTTTTTGTTTTATTTTGTTTTGAGATGGAATCTTGCTCTATCACTTAGGCGGGAGTGCAGTGGTGTGATCTTAGCTCACTGCAACCTCCGCCTCCTGGGTTCAAATAATTCTTCTGCCTCAGCTTCCCAGGTAGGTGGGATAACAGGCACACGCCACCATGCCTGGCTTATTTTTGTATTTTTTCAGTAGAGACGGGGTTTCACCATGTTGGCCGGGCTGGTCTCGAACTCCTGACCTTATGATCCGCCTGCCTCAGCCTCCCAAAGTGCTGGGATTACAGGCATGAGCCACCGTGCCTGGCCTTTTTTTTTTTGAGATGGAGTCTCGCTCTGTCGCCCAGGCTGGTATGCAATGGCCCAATCTCAGCTCACTGCAACCTCCGCTTCCTAGGTTCATTTGATTCTCCTGCTTCAGCCTCCCAAGTAGCTGGGACTACAGGCGCACACCACCATGTCCAGCTGATTTTTGTATTTTTAGTAGAGAAACAGGGTTTCACCATGTTGGCCAGGATGGTCTCGAACTCTTGACCTCGTGATCCATCCACCTCGGCCTCCCAAAGTGCTGGGATTACTACAGGCATGAGCCACTGTACCTGGCTGGCCTTTACTCCCTGACTCAGAAGGTAGGGTGGCAGTGGTGAGGTGACTCAGGGATGCTTGGCCCTGTGGCCTGCCCTTTGATTTATGAAAGCCACCTCAGCAGCACCAACCTTTGTTCCCAGCTGATCTCTTGTCAGATGGGTGGCGGCACTGGGGCACCTCAGACAGCCAGCGTCTTGCTGAGGGTGGGAGCATCCTGTGCCTGCAGCCTCTGGAGCTATGGGACCAGGGCTGCGAAGCCAGTCCTTGAGAGGGCCCCGACCCTCCTATGGAAAGCTGCAGGAACCCTGGGGGAGGCCCCTGGAGGGCCAATTCCACAGGGCGCTGAGCCTCAGAGAGGGGCGTGAGAAGTCCAGGTCCCAGGGCCTCGACAGAGGCACAGAAGGGCCAGATGCCGCTGCTCAGGAGCAACTGCCGGGTAGCCTGGGGGATACAGAGCAGCTGATCCAAGCCCAGCGAGGAGGCAGCCGACGGTGGCTGAGGTGGTACCAACAGGTATGGCTGCAGGCTGAAGGATGGAGGGTGCCACAGCAGATAGGTGGGGATTTCAGGGCAGCAAAGGTTCAGAGGGAGAGCCATCTGGGGCTGTGTACTAAGATGACAACCGAGTGGCCTGGAGATGAGGGCGCAGAGAGAGATACCCCAGAGCCATATTTCAGAGGGCCCTGAAGGCATTTGGGATTTATCCCATAGGCGCTGGGGAGCCACTGAAGGTTTTAGAGGAGGAGGGTGATATGGTAAGAGCCGTTTTTAGCAGATTAATCTGACAGTATGTTGGACAGAGGAATGGAGCAGGAGGCAAGGAGATCAGCCAGTACAACTTCCCGGGAAGTACACTGTGTGACCCTTTCACCTCAGGGAAAAGGGGACATCCGGACCCCTTTGTGAGGAGCTGCCGGCTTCTGGTCCCTGCCTCCTTACTCTAAGAGAAAGGGTCGTGAATGAGCAGTGTTTCTCTCCCTGGGGTCTACCCCCACCTCGTGGCTGTGGGTGGAACAACAGCTAAGCCCACCACTCAGCCCGTGGGACCTACTCCACCTCTGTCTTCCAGCAGGTAAGGAGAAGGTGGGACAGCTTTGTCACCATCTTCCCCAGCGTGACTCTGAGTCAGCCGGCCTCCCCGTAGCCCACACTGGGCACCATCAGCTAAAGATGCTGGAAGCCATGGTGGCCCCCCTGCTGTGCCCGGACCAGCCTGCCGTGTCTGCTGACCTACCTACCTCTTCACAGCTCTCTGAACTATGGCTGGGTGGCCCAATGAGGCTTCTGCCACCAGCTCACTGGAGTCCCATGTGGCTGCCCCTCTTAGCTCTGGCCCTCCCACCCCAGCAGCTAGCTCTCTTCGAAGACCCCAGCAGGGCCAAAAAGAAGGGGGTTCAGCTCTCTGCCCTCTGGGCTTGGGTAAGGGCCTTGGACGCTGATTCTATGAAGGTTTAGAAGGAGCCTGCCCAGAATGGAGGCTGTGGACGCTGCTGCCCGACATGAGACCAGCCGTCAACTTCCAGGATGGAGCTTGGTGAAGCCAGACCCATGGCTGAGAGGCTCACGGACGCTGCCTGGTCACTGGGCCATGACCCAACTGCCCTTCTTGTCAGCTGCTGATGGGGGGCCCAGGCGCAGGTCTCCCTCCCAGATGGTGAACCCCCTGGGGCAAGGACACAACTGGGCGGCCCTCAGGACTGGATACCCTGTGCTGAAAATCTTTGAACCTCCTGGTGTTCTGATGAAGGAAGCAGGGGAAGCTTTCCCTCCCTATGTGACAGAGGGAGAAACTGAGGCCCAGAGATTCTTGCTTTTGGCATCTCTGGCCCCACCCTGCCCCATCCCCTGTCTAGCGCTGGAACTGAACACAGTAATAAAGATGCTGAGAAGAAGCCAACGATTGCCCGGTGGTTAAGTGGCTGGCTCAGACACGCCCCCTACCCCTGCCGACTCCTGTGAGGCAGGCTAAGCCCAGAGCATCCCAGAATGGGTGGGCACAGGCACCAGGGACTGGGGCAGGCTGGGTTCCCCCGAAGGCTGGGCCTTTCCTGCTACTTCTCTGGACCTTTCTCCACAGAGGGATTACGCCCACCCTGTGCTGACCTCAAGGCCAGCTTCAGAGGATCTGGCTCTCAGTGTCCTGCCTCTGTACTGAGCACTGGGGCGAGGCTCCTTCTGAAGCCCAGAGAGGTAAAGGGGCTTGCTTCAGGGCCACACAGAAGGGGAGTGTCTGACCCCAAAAAACCTGAGCTCTTCAAGAGACACTGGTGTTTCTTGTGGGGCCCCTGGGACTCTCCAGGTTCAAGCAGGTCCAAGGTCAAAGGTGAGGGAACAGCTAAGCATCCTGGTCCACAATCTGTTCTGGGGGTGTTGTCCAGCAGACAGAGGTGTGGCTTCTCCATTTCCCCAGAGACCAGGCCCCATCAGGGCCATTCAGAAACAAGGGATCCGCTGGGAAAATTTTGTTCCAGGGAAGCTAGGGTGCCCGGCTGGGAAACTGGACAGTGGGAGCTCACCAGAAGCCTTGAGCCCGGCTGGGCTTACACTTCAGATGCCCTGCTCAGCCTCTTCTGCATCAGTCCCTCAGGTGCCTCTGGGGAACCCTAGGACTCCAGGGAACAGAATTGAAATTCGTAGCTCTGACCCACCTCTCAATGTCTGGAGGAGGAAAATGGGGTCCAGAATGGGACAGCACTTCTCACCCTCTGGGACGCTACCCTCCAACCTCCCAGCCTCTTCATCCTCAGAGAATCTCTAGCCCAACTTCCAGCCATTCCATTTGTCACACTGACTAGTTTGTCTAGCTATGTGCTTTTTCCTTTCTCTGTTCTTTTTTCATTTCTAAGATGGAATCTTGCTGTGTCACCCAGACTCAAGTGCAGTGGCGTGATCCTGGCTCACTGTAATCTCCACCTCCCCGGTTCAAGTAATTCTCCTGCCTCAGCCTGGGTTATCCTGCCTTAGTCCATCTGAGCTGGGACTACGGCCAGGTGCACACCACCACTCCTGATTAATTTTTGTATTTTTAGTAGAGATGGAGTTTCACCATGTTGGCCAAGCTAGTCTCAAACTCCTGATCTCAAGCGATCCACCCTCCTTGACCTCCCAAAGTGCTGGGGTTATAGACATGACCCACAGCACCTGGCCTTTTGTCTTCCATTACACTGAAAGCTCCATGGAGACCTGATATGTTCCTACCAGGACCCCAGTGCCTGGCTCTGGGCCTGGCACATAGTAGGTGTTAAATGAGTTATCATTCAGTGAATGAGGGGCTGGCCCAAGGTCACCCAGTGAGTTGATGGCTGAGCTGAGCCTGCAGCTTATGGGTCTGGGGTCCCTGCTCAGACAGAGAAATCCTAGCCTTGTCAGCAGCCCCATCAACAGGGACCACATCTCTGGGGTCCTTGGCTGAGGCCTCCCCCAAAACATTCATGCACTCTGGTAGGTTGCTTCCAAAGATGTCCATAACCATCTCTCCCACCACAGATGCCCTTTTGCATTGTCTGTTACACCTCTTTTAAAGGGTGGAGTCTATGGGGTCCAAAGGTAGGGGAATCTCTGGAGCCCAGGAGTTCGGGGATGAAGTGAGCTGCAATTGTGCCACTACACTAGAGCCTGAATGAGATAGCAAGATCCCATCTCTTTAAAAAAAAAAAAAAAAAAAAAAGAAAGTGGGGTATATTTTAACTTTCCTTGACTGTAGATGGGCTGTGTGACCTGCTTTGGCCAATAGAATGCATTGGAAATAAGTGTTCTGGGACTTCTCTGCCTAGGCCTCAGTAGGCCTTGCAGCTTCTGTTTCTACCATCCTCTGTTTCTACCTCCAAAGCCAGCTGCCATGTAAAGAACTCTGGGCCGTCCTGTTAGAAAGGTGATGTGGAGATCAGAGGGCACACGGAAGAGAACTAAGGTACCCCCGGCCAACAGCCAGAACCAACTGCCTATTGTGTGAGTGAGCCCCCAGCCCAGCTCCTAGCTGACTGCAGCCTGAGTCAGTCACCCCAGCTGACACCACGTGGAGCAGAAGAACCACCCAACTGAGCCCAGCCAACCCATGGAATTGAGATCTAAGAAACCCTTTTGCTTCACACCTCTAGATTTAGGATGTGTTAGATTCCTAGGACTGCCATAACAAACTATCACAAACTGGGTGGCTTAAAACAAGAGAAATTTGTTCTCTAACAGTTCCGGGGTTCACAAGTCTGAAATCAACTTGTTGGCAGTGCTGCACTAATTCTGAAGGCTCTAGAAAAGAATTCTTTCTGCCTCTTCCTCACTTCCCATGGTTGCTGGCAATCCTTGGTATTCCTTGGCTTTTGGATGCATCATTCTAATCATTCCAGTCTATGCCGCCAGCATTACATGGTGTTCTCCCTGTGTGTCTGTGACCAAATTTCCCTCTTTTTTTTTTTTTGTTTGTTCACAGAGAGTGTCTTTCTTTGTTGCCCAGACTTGACTGCAGTAGCACGACCATAGCTCAAGTGTAACTTTGAATTCCTGGGCTCGAGATCCTCCCACCTCAGCCTCCCGAGTAGTTAGGACTGTAGACAGGATGGAGGGGTATGTGCCACCATGCCTGGCTGATGTTTTTATTTTAATTTTTATTTATATATATTTTTTGAGATGGAGTCTCACTCTGTCACCCAGGCTGGAGTGCAGTGGCACAATCTCAGCTCACAGCAACCTCTGCCTCCCGGATTCAAGGTATTCTCCTGCCTCAGCCTCCCGAGTACCTGGGATTATAGGCACCCATCTCCACAGTAAGCTATTTTTTTTTTTTTTTTGCATTTTTAGTAGACATAAGGTTTTACCATTTTGGCTAGGCTGGTGTTGAACTCCTGACCTTTCCTGAGTAGCTGAGATTATAGGCACCCACCACCACAGTCAGCTAATTTTTTTTTTTTTTTTTCATTTTTAGTAGACACGAGATTTTACTATGTTGGCTAGGCTGGTCTCGAACTCTTGACCTCAGGTGATCTGCCCGCCTCAGCCTCCCAAAGTGCTGGGATTACAGGCATGAGCCATGGTGCCCAGCCTCCGGTTTTTTTTGTTTTCTTTTGAGACAAAGTCTCACTTTGTCACACAGGCTGGAGTGCAGTGGCGTGGTCTTGGCTCACTGCAGCCTCAGTCCCAGGTTCAAGCAATCCTCTTGCCTCAGCCCTCCAGGTAGTTGTGACTACCACCTGGCAAATTTTTATGTTTTGTAGAGATGGGATTTTGCCATGTTGCCCAGGCTGATCTTGAACTCCTGGTCTCAAGCAGTCCTCCCATCTTGACCTCCCAAAGTGCTGGGTTTGCAGGCATGAACCACTGAAACTGACCAAAATTTCTCTCTTTTTTTTTTCTCTTGAGATGGAGTCTCTGTCACCCAGACTGAAGTGTAATGGCACCATCTTGGCTCACTGCAACCTCTGCCTCCCAGGTTCAAGCAATTCTCCTGCCTCAACTTCCTGAGTAGCTGGGATTACAGGTGCATGACACCATGGCTGGCTAATTTTTGTATTTTTAGTAGAGACGGGATTTCACCTTGTTGGTCAGGCTGGTCTCAAACTCCTGACCTCAAGTGATCCACCCGCCTTGGCCTCCCAAAGTGCTGGGATTACACGCATGAGCTACTGTGCCCAGCCTAATTTCTCTCTTTTTTTTTTTTTGAGACAGAGTCTTGGCTCACCGCAACCTCCGCCTCCTGGGTTCAGGCAATTCTCCTGCCTCAGCCTCCTGAGTAGCTGGGATTACAGGCGCGTGCCACAACGCCCAGCTAATTTTTTGTATTTTTTAGTAGAGACAGGGTTTCACCATGTTGACCAGGATGGTCTCGATCTCTTGACCTCGTGATCCACCTGCCTTGGCCTCCCAAAGTGCTGGGATTACAGGCTTGAGCCACTGTGCCCGGCCCAATTTCTCTCTTCTTATGAGGACAACAGTCGCATTGGGTTTAGGGCTCACTCTACTCCAGTATGATCTTATCTTAACTGGATTATATCTGCAAAGCCCCTGTTTCCAAATGAGGTCACATTCACAGGGTTCAGAAGGGCATGAATTTCGCAGAGACAAAATGCAACCCAACAGAGGCGGGTAGTTTGATATGTGCCGTAGGCAACACACACACCTTCTGCCCATGACCCTGGTGGCAGGGTAGCTCTCAGCTGGGGCATAGTTTCTCTGGGGACCCTCTCATTAGTGGCCTGAGGACAATGCCAAGAGAGGAACAAAGCCTGTGATTATAACCTTCCTGGAAGGAATAAAGTCACACGGTGCTGCAGACTGGTTGCTACAGCTGGGTATAACCTTTACAATAGCTCTGAGGTCCATTTGAAAACTTGTCTCAGCCGGGCACAGTGGCTCATGCCTGTAATCCCAGCACTTTGGGAGACCAAAGCAGCTGGATCACTTGAGGGTGGGAGTTCAAAATAAGCCTGGCCAAACTGGCGAAACCCCGTGTCTGCTAAAAAAATACAAAAAGTAGCCAGACGTAGTGACGGGCGCCTGTAGCCCCAGCTACTCGGGAGCCTGAGGCAGGAGAATCGCTTGAAACCGAGCGATGGGGTTTGTAGTGAGCCGAGATTTCCCCACTGCACTCAAGCCTGGGCAACAGAGCAAGATTCTGTCTCACAAAAAATTTTTAAAAATAAAAGAAAACTTGTCTCTTGACCAATAACTTGGAAAAGGGGGGAAAAGCAAAAAAGAAAGAAAGCAAACTTGTCCCCAGGCAGGAGAAGGCCAGGAGGGTGGCCAAGGAATTTCTAAATTGGGTGACTGCTCTTCGGTCAATAACAGTCCCTGAAGAACTTTTATTTATTTATTTATTTTTTGAGACGGAGTTTCGCTCTTGTTACCCAGGCTGGAGTGCAATGGCACGATCTCGGCTCACCGCAACCTCTGCCTCCTGGGTTCAAGCAATTCTCCTGCCTCAGCCTCCCGAGTAGCTGGGATTACAGGCGTGCACCACCATGCCCAGCTAATTTTTGTATTTTTAGTAGAGACGGGGTTTCACCTTGTTGACCAGGATGGTCTCGATCTCTTGACCTTGTGATCCACCCGCCTCGGCCTCCCAAAGTGCTGGGATTATAGGTGTGAGCCACCGCGCCCGGCCTTTATTTATTTATTTATTTATTTAGACAGAGTCTCGCTCTGTTGCCAGGAGCCAGGCTGGAGTGCAATGGCACGATCTCAGCTCACTACAACCTCCGCCTTCCGGGTTCAAGCAATTCTCCTGCTTCAGCCTCCCCAGTAGCTGGGACTACAGGCGCATGCCACCACACCCAGCTAAGTTTTATATTTTTAGTAGAGACGGGGTTTCACCATGTTGGCCAGGATGGTCTCGATCTCTTGACCCCCTGAAGAACTTTTAAATAGGAAAAGAGGAAGAAGGAAAACAGTGCTTCTGGATTACTCACGGGGTCCACGCCCTCTGCTGGGCACTCGGCCAGGGCCATCTGGGGAGGCAGTAGGGTTCAGTGATTAAGCATGCTGGAGCTGGGTCCAGACTATCTGAGTTTGAATCCTGACTCTACCACTTGATGATTTATAACCCTGAGCAAGTCACTTATCTTCTCTGCCTCAGTTGCTTTATTTGTAAAATGTAGCTAATGGCAGGGCATGGTGGCTCATACCTGTAATCTCAGCATTTTGGGAGACGAAGGCGGGCGGATCACTTGAGGTCAGGAGTTTAAGACCAGCCTGGCAACATGGAGAAACCCCATTTCTACTAAAAATACAAAAATTAGCCGGGCATGGTATCCTGTCTATAATCCCAGCTACTCGGGAGGCTGAGGCATGATAATCGCTTGAACCCAGAATGCAGAGGTTGCAGTGAACTGAGATCATGTCACTGCACTCCAGCCTGGGTGACAGAGGAATACTCTGTCAAAAAACAAATAATAAAAAATAAAAAAAGTAGGCCAGGCGTGGTGGCTCACACCTGTAATCCCAGCACTTTGGGAGGCCTAGGCGGGTGGATCATGAGGTCAAGAGATCGAGACCATCCTGGTAAACATGGCGAAACCCCGTCTCTACTAAAAATACAAAAAATTAGCTGGGCATGGTTTCATACGCCTGTAATCCCAGCTACTCGGGAGGCTGAGGCAGGAGAATTGCCTGAACCCAGGAGGCGGAGGTTGCGGTGAGCCGAGATCGCATCATTGCACTCCAGCCTGGGTAACAAGAGCAAAACTCCGTCTCAAAAAAAAAAATTAATTAATTTAAAAAAATAAAAATTAAAAAAGTAAAATGCAGCTAATAACGTCACTCAGCTCCCAGGGTCACTGAGGGGCTCTTACCATAACAGAGGAAGAATCCTCATGATCTAATCACCCTCGTGGCAGCCATACAGGGCGGGCATCATTGCCCCATTGTCCTCATTCTACAGGTGAAGAAATGAAGATTCATTCTTTTTTTTTTTAGATGGAGTCTCACTCTATTGCCCAGGCCGGAGTGCAGTGGCACAATCTTGGCTCACTGCAACCTCTGCCTCCGGGGTTCAAGCAATTCTCCTGCCTCAGCCTCCCAAGTAGCTGGGGTTACAGGCGCGCATCACCACACCTGGCTAAATTTTTTTGTACTTTCAGTAGAGAAGGAGTTTCACCATGTTGGCTAGTTTCGAATTCCTGACCTCAAGTGATCTGCCTGCCTCGGCCTCCCAAAGTGCTGGGATTACAGGCATGAGCCACCACGCCTGGCCTCCTTCTTCTTTTTTTTTTTTTTTTTTTTTTTTTGAGACGAAGTATAGCTCTGTTGCCCAGGCTGGAGTGCAGTGGCACGAATCTCAGCTCACTGCAATCTCTGTCTCCCAGGTTCAAGCGATTCTTCTGCCTCAGACTCCCCCATAGCTGGGACTACAGGTGAGCACCACTACGCCCAGCTAATTTTTGTATTTTTAGTAGAGACAGGGTTTCACCATGTTGGCCAGGATGGTCTCACACTCTTGACCTCTTGATCTGCTTGCCTTAGCCTCCCAAAGTGCTGGGATTATAGGCGTGAGCTTTTTTTTTTTTTTTTTTTTTTTTTTTTTTAAGAAATAGGGTCTCACGGTTCCCAGGCTGGAGTGCAGTGGTGCAATCACAGCTTACTGCAGCCTGGACCTTCTGGGCTCAAGCAATCCTACCACCTCAGCCTCCCAAGTAGCTGGGACTGCAGGCATGCACCCTCATGCCTGGCTAATTTTGTTTTACTTATTCATTTATTTATTTTTCACATAAAGTCTTATGCTCTCGCCCTGGCTGGAGTACAGTGGTGCTATCACAGCTCATTGCAATTT